CATTATCAGAATGCCAAACTCAACTATTTGCGCGTCGCCCGTGAGATTTCCGGCCAACTGTCCGAATCACTGGTGAAATTCGATTACGGATTCATTGCCGTGGGACTAGCGCTGACAACAGCGGTACGTGTTGACAATTATTCAGTATTGTATATTTTATTAGTGACGTACTTTTCTGTACTTTCCTTTACAGAGCTCCTTGCACCTTATATTGAGCGTATTATTTCTGGATATTGCGGCAGAGCAACTGCATTTGCATAGGCTGAAAGTGGTTCAGCTGCTGCTCTCTCTTGTAATCGGAGTTCTACTGAATGTATTCGCTCATTTGGTGGATCTAGTACTGACCAGCTCCATGCTATACGGTCTACTCTTACTGCTGCCTATTATTGCTTCTGTTTATTTAACCATTGATGTGGTACAAGCACTGCTGAAGATCGCCCTGCCACCTCTTTACTCGCGGCGCTTGAAGCTATCTATACCCTTGCCACTGCCACTACTGGTGTGCTTTGCTATACGTATCTCGACGCTGGGCTCCTCGTCATTCATTGAATTTGAATACAAGACCTGGTATTACTTGGGCAGTACGCTGCTTCTGCTGACCGCACTCAAGACACTGCGTCGCCGCATTACCAAAGCGAATGTGGAACTGGATGGACGGCATTTGCACAAGATTGCCTCGGCTTGCCTTTGGCAGCAACGCAAGATCTTCGTGGTGCTCATATTGCTGACACTCATGCGTTATCTGCATAGATTGACGGCCATTAAGAGCACACTGATGATATTCTCCTTATTTCTATATTGGGCACGCCTGCGCAAATTCACCGATACATCACAGACCGTATTCAAGGGCCTGGCCTTTCTGCTAGTCTACTGTTTCCGTGGCCTAAACGGTCAGGTGCACTTCTTTGAGTTACCCGAGTATATGGCGTAAGTTTTCGATATTCTATATACTTATATTTATCTATAATCTAATGCTAACTTACACTCTCTTGCAGCGCTCGCTGTATGTTACCCGTGCTGGTGCTCTTCTGGTGTTGCCTGGCGCTGGTCTTTGTCCTGGGCTACCGCACGGCACTGCCGCAACAGACAAGCGGTCTCAGTTTGCTGGATGAGCAGCCGCAGAGCAATCTACTGAAGCTGCTGCAAACAAATATGACATGTTCGCTGATGCTGGTGGCGCTGCTATACAAGGTGCAGAATATTGTGCTGTTGCCCACGATGCTCATCACGCTGGACGAAACGTACAAACTGTGCGATGCGTATGGCACCACCGCGCGCAAGTTCTCGGTGCGAATGGTGCATATCTACAAGATAATCATGACCATATTTGTGGCGAGAATGTTTTACTTTTATCAGGGCAACTCGAACAGTCTGTCGACAATTGACCTGAATCCCGGCTATATTGGCCAGACTAGCTATAATCCCTTCATTGTTGGGGTCTTTGTAACGCTGAACACCTACAGCGCCGAAATACATTCCTTTCTGTACCTTATTGTGCACACCCTGCGCACGGATCTGCGCAGCGTTGGCATCATACAGCTGCAGCCGCCGTATGCGAAGGCAGCCGATTCACTGGTGGTGCCGCTATATGCGGCTCTGGTATTGCTGCCGGTGGCATTTTACCTCTGCCTGATGTTGGTCTTTCGCTATCATCTATTTATCTACTCTGTCTTTTCACCCAAAGTGCTCTACGACTGTTATACTGTATTGGTATTCTATTTGGTATTCCTATCAACGAGTTTGTACTTTAAATTGTTTAAACATGACGCTTAATTATTAAATAATTTAAAAGCTTTAAAAAACTTTAAAACCATAATTCTAATTGCCCTCCACACGAAGCGCATAGTGTATGTCATCGGCGCTAACGTTGAGCAGAATCTTTTGGTAAAGATCATGGCGCGAGTGCTCGGAGATGATGAGACGCTCGGCGCCCAGTTTGGAGCATAAATGTAGAGCGCGTCCCGGCGCTGGCAGTGCCACGCCCATAAATGCCGCAATTGTCTCGATCTGCGTGTAAACGCCCATAAACGTTGTCTCCTCGACGCCGGTGCGTGTCACCTCCGCTGCAACGGCTTGTAGAAAGATTTGCTCCAGTCGCGAACAGTTCTTGATAGCCTGCACCTTTGCACTAGCTATCATCTCGGCCAACGCCTGCTGCACATGCAGCATAGTCACACACTTGGGTGCACCTCCTGGCTGAGGCTCGGCGCTATCGGCAATTTCCGTCGCACGACGACAAATGTCGAGGGCACGACGAGCATCTCCAGAAACGGCGGCTACTTTACGTGCCACCAGCTGCACAGCCTCGCCCTTGAATGCCTCGGAACCGGCCAGACGCGCGGTGACAATTTCCTGCAGCTGCTTATGTGTGTAGGGCTGGAAAGTGAGGCGTGTGAGCCCCAGACGTGACGTTACCTTGCCTGAAAGAAGATGCAGGGATTAGCTACTGGGTACAGATATGCTGGAAGTTGCTTTAGTGCTTACCCATCAGCAAACGCTCGGGCAGATCCATTGTGTTGGCTATGGTGACCACTACGAGCCTAGCCGCCGATTTTGTCGGCCAGTCGAGCAGATTGTAAACGACATCCTGACGCCGATTGCACAGTATGTCCAACTCGTCCACCAGCAGCACCGTGGTCATGCGACGCGGCGCCGCTGTTGTGAAGCGCTTCTCCAGCAGCGTGTGTGCATGCTCCCAGGATACGGTTTTGCCCGTCAGCTGCTTATAGATCTGCACGTAAGCCTGACGCGGCTCGGTTAGGCGCATGCCGTTAATCTCCAAAAAGTCAAAAGCGGGCAGTTCATCCTGGGCAACCAGACGCTGCAGCGTGCGAATGACGCCAGTGACCGTCGCCGTTTTGCCTGTGCCCGGCACGCCCGAAACGTACATACAACCACCGCACTGATCCTGAATTTTTCCTTCCAGAAAGCTGTAGATATTGTCAAACTCCTTTTCGCGACAGGGCAAGCTTTTGGGCACTACAGAGACGTGCAGCTGTTCGCGAGCCAGCTGCAGCTGCGACTTGTGTCGCTCGTCCACGAGCTGATGACGCTGCTCCAGGCTGGGACTTAGTTCGCCGGCTCGTATTTTCTTCAGCTTCTGCGACGGCGTCAGTGGAGCACTCTCCTTGAGTTTTGTAGCCGATGGTTGCTTTGCGGTTCCCGTGGTGCTCATGCGCCGTGGGCGCGTCGGTGTCTTTTGGCTTGACATTTTGGGCATATAGTCTGCATCGGCCGCCTCATCCGTGAGTTTAGGGCGACTTCTCTTGGGTGTGGAGATGATATCGTTGTCTTTAAATATGCGCTGCTCCACAATATTAGACAGCTGAATGCTGCGTCTGGGCGTGCCCTCGGCTGTAAATAAAAAGAGGTTTAATAAAAACAATGCTAATGCTCAGGCTGATAAGTTACCTACCCAGGCGTGTGGTGGCAGACTTGAGAATGCTCTTGCGGCGCGTGGAGGGTGTCAGTTCTGTGCCCGCAGACTCGAGCAGCTCCTTGGACTTCTTTGTGGGCGTATGATAGATATCGCCACTGCTGACACCCAAACGCTTGCGTCGCTGCTTACTGCTTGGCGTATCGCTGATGTTGTCAGCGGCCACTTCCAAGGGATCAGCAAGTATATTATCGTCCAACGATTCGAGACGAACCGATTTTCGGCGCTCGGAGATGCGCAACTTAATTTTCATGTCATTTGCGGGCGTCTTGGGATCTGGAGTCTGCTGCACAATTGAATAGTTCAAGCAATCCGAATCGGCTGTGCTGTCGGCGCCCTTGTCCAGACTTAAATTCAGATTGCGACGCGCGGCCGAAGCGCGCGACTTTGGTGTTACAACTTTGGGATTCTTTTCGGTCAATGGTGAGGCCATTAGATAGTTGGCATTGATCTCGGACACGACACCGTCAGCTGATGCTGCTCCGCTCAGGGTCTTCTTTTTCTCGGATAGGCGTACCACGCTGCGGCCACCCACAATTTTGATAGGCGACACCTTGTTCTCGCAATTGAAATAGTTGACGTCAACGAACTCCACTGGAGCTGCACTGTCTGCAGCCGTGGACACGCGTCTGCGCGAGATGGATTTGCGCGCAGAACTCGAACTGGCATCTCGGGTGGAGCGTCGCTTGCGTGCCGAATCCGTGCCATCGAGCTGAATCTCGAGTGGTATAAGGCGATACGCGTTTCTTACCTTTAAGAATTTGTAGCGCGACACAAACATTGGACAGTTATTGGGTGCTTTGTGCTTTTTAATAATCTGCTCGGCAGTTTGCTGGGAAGTGCCTTCCAGCACAAGACACTTGCGAAAAATGGAGCCCAAGGCCACGTCGTTGTCGTATAGCCGATGCTCCTCTATGATTTCAATGTCAAAATCTAAGACCAAGCCGTCCACATCGAAATACTTATGCGGTATGGCCTGCGGGCGGGAGTACCACTGGACTATAGCACGACAGGATTCTTTGGCGGTCATTTCCCGCAGCTCGTAGAGATATAGGATCTTGGCGATGTCACAGCCCTCCACGGTGTCGGGCTCTGCTGCATCCGCGTTGGCTACCAATATATAGTCGCCCACTGTCAGTGTAAGTGGTCCATACACACACTTTTTGTAAAAGTACACGTTTCTGTGCTCCAAACTCTTGACGGATGTGTCTCGGCTGTGGCTGCCGATCCAAATGACCTGCTGAACAGCGCTATTTGCATTTTCGTTATTAACCATCACGGTATATCGTGTATGTATGTCGTCAAATAAATATTCTTAGTCAGCTATTGGAGAAATGGGTTGTGTTCTACTTTTGCTCTCTTTTTTTATACCACAATAAAATCAGCAGTTTGCCGCGCTGGGCACTCGTTTTGGCGCAAAAACAAATTGTACTCGAACGATCATTGATTATTATCGATACTTTCAACACAAGGTATCGATGTGTGTGGTGGTGTGTAGTGTGCAGCCCTGGCTTTGAACTTCTTCAACACTGAATAATTAATGAATCATCCTGAAGGAGGGCTTATGGAAGCGCAATTCAAGGATTTGTGGACTTGCGGTTTCTTTTTGTCCAAGGAACCGTACAAGGAATTAGCCATAAAATGTTTTATGTGCGACAGATTGTTTTACGCCATTCGAGCATTTCAAAAACACTTGGCGCTCATACATTTGGACGAAGAAGAAGAAGAAATAAATAAGCCGGTCTCAATAAAAAAAAGTCCGTTGAATAACGATCCCTATTTGGGGCTCTGCGAAGTTGAGGTAAATAAATAGAATTCTAGTATTGACTAAATGGTTAACATAGTAATCCTCTAAAATTATAGACTGCAGAACAGCATGCTGAAGTTGTTAGAAAAATAAATACTTGCGACAGGTTAGAGGAGGAAGAGATTTCCTACGAGAATTATTTTGCTGAAAAACTTGAATACCCTATTACTGAATCAATTCTTGAGCCTATCCAACAAGCAACTACTGTGTCCACAGAGGATATTATTTGTGAACAGTCAAAGAATCAGGGGCAGTGCAAAAAATTCAAAAAGCCCGCCTCCAAGACTAAAACGGATGACTTTGTTTGTGAAAAATGTGGACTCATATTTAAGGAGCTATTTCAGCTACAGGAACATCAACGCAGTGCACACGAGCAGCTGCGTCGTTTCTTATGCAGAAAGTGTCCCAAGACGTATGCTCGCAAGACCCATTTGAATGATCACATGCGTTCCCATTCGCAGCAGCGCGACTTTGTCTGCAACATGTGCGATAAGGCGTTCCGACGCTCCCAGGAACTGACCCGCCACAAGCTACGTCACCAGCCGGCGAAGAACTACAGCTGCCAGCGATGTGATGCTAAGTTTCGCCAGCATTCGGGCTTGTATTATCATGTTAAGATTAAACATAGCACGCACAAGGTAAAAGCGGGCGCATGCTAGTGGAGCAGCAGCTGGGGAGAGGCTTGTACATTGGTATATATTGGTATGCGTATGCTTTTATTTATGATTACTGATAATTGAATATAATGTAAACTTTTTTGGGTACGTATTGAGTACAAATATCAAGCAATTTGAATCAAACATTTTGCATTGCATGCATAACAATTACTTTTTTTTATTTATATAACATTTATTCTGAACGTTTTTTATCTCGCTTCTATTTTTATGGCCTGTGATTTTGAGTCCGATTAAATAAATCAACAATGAAGCATAAACGACACGTGAACTACATATATGTATGTAAGTGTACGCAAATCAGGTCGTAAAAATTTTTTTTTGGGCTGCTTAAATTAAAATCAATCACAATCCATATATACATACAAAATATAATACTAAAAAATGCTTAAAAATTATGAAATTAATGAAATCACTGGTCGCTTTCAAGAGAATTGAAAACTAATTGAAGGACTGAATCAAACAGAACGAAAACGAATGCTTGCTACGAATATAAAGCACATATTTAAGTGTTTGGTTTGGGTGGGGTGCGGGGTCAGAGGAGCTTGATCCCCTAATTCGCTTGGAAAGTGCGCCAAGTGTTTTGTGTGTGTGTGGATGGGTGAGTAAAACTAACAGAGATATTCATATAAGATGAGTTAATGCTTTTATAGTTGCAGATCTATTCAATATCGTGGAAGCGGAGAATGGCGCGACCGGGTATCTCGGAATTGATCAGCTTCTGTATGACCTCGGCGGCCTGCTCGCACGGGAATACCGAGTATGGTGGCGGCTCGATCTTTTTGTTTGCCACCAGCTGCACCAGTTCCGCCAGTTGCTCGGCGGTGCCATTCGATATTGGTATTATTTCCTGCTGGTACTCATTCGATAGCCTGGAGAATTTCGGTAACAGCTTCTCGGCCACTTCCTCGCTAATCAGCACGACGCCCCCCTTAGACAAGCAGTGCATGGAACGATGCAGACTTCTGGAAGTTGTGCCAAAATCAATAACCACATCGACAGCGCCGCCGCACACGTCCTTGGTGCGCTCAATGAGCTGCGGCTCATACAGACACTCGTTCCACTGCACAACGCTGACACTGCAAGCAAGAATCAATTTTTCATGTTTAGTTTAGATAGTTGGCGATAAGTACTCAGCGTCTAATACTCACTTCTTAATCTCTGTAGCTAAACGGAAACCTTCGTCCCGGAGACTGGCCACTGTTATGTCCACATTATGTGCACCAGTCGATGCAAAATGATAGGATGCAATACGCACCGCCCAAAGAGCCAAGCCACCAGTGCCTACTATTAAGATTTTGCACTTCTTATTGGGATCCGTGGCAGCGCGCTGATTAAGTATCTCCGTGACTACGGCTTGCGCTTTGAATACAGCGTTCATGGCCAGCAGTGCGCCTGTCGGCAGCATCGCTGCCTCCTCCATGGGCAGACTATCCGGAATCGGTACAATGTGGCTTAGATCGGGCACAACCAGCAGCTCTGCATAGCCGGCAGGTGTCTCATCAAACGGATAGACAATGACGCGCTGTCCAATGCGCAGGCCACAGTTGTTTGCCTCTGTGATCTCGGAGCCCAGCGCGTCAATTACGCCGGCCACCTCGAAGCCAGGAAAGAATGAGCCCTCGCGTATGCCCTGATGAGCTGGCGATGACATCGACGACATCGATGTGCCCGATGGGCAGTAATCACTCAACTCCGACGAAACTGACGAAACGCTGGTTATCGAATTGGAGCGATCTCTGCGACGATAGCAGGCGCCAGCGCACACGATCTTGATGCGAGCGCCATGTGCCGGTGTATCCTCAATGGGCACAAAAAAATTAAACACACAATTCTTTACGCCCGGTCCGGGCGACTCAATTGACACTTGACGGCACAATTTGTTCATGTTGTGCGTGTTGTGATGATGATGTTCGGAATCGGTCGGCGGCAGAGCAGACGTCAAGGAGAGTGCGTCAAGCGACAAAGAAGAGGTATCTGTTGTTCCGCTGAAAAATAAGAAAATCACATTCAATTTAAGCATATACATATATGTATTAATATGCGTGGATACTTATTTATATTTGTCGGGAGCACAAATTTTATTTGCAAAAAAGTATTTTCTAGAGATTTAGAGGTCGTACCAAGATCAAGAAGATATTTAGCAAAGAAATTAGTTCTGTTTTGTAAGAACTATTGGAAATAAAAAAAAAAAAAACATTTACCATATTTTGAAAATATTATCTCTACTTCTAATTTACTATGAAAAGTTTAAAATTAAAAAGCATAAGCTTTTTGATAAGATAACAAATCATAAATAGTTTTAATTAGTTCGCCTAATATCTAAGTACAAGCAAATGTAATGTTTCTATCGTAATGCTGAGCATTTATTCTTTATACGAGTTCGTACGCGTTTTATCGTTTACATAGCCCGATTTGGAACAAGGTCAATTTGTTTGCCTTTTGCTTTGGAAACAGATTTGTTTTTCATTACACAACAAAAATATATGGCAGATTTTTAGAGAGCCATGAAGTAATATTTGATTGATCCTCACATCATGATATTTAATTTTTTCCTAAACGACTTCTCTTTGTTTTCCTATATAGAATAATCTTGATTTCAATGTCAACCACAATAAAGTTGACTTTAATGTAAAAACTATTTGCTTTCTGGACACGACGCTCGTGGAGACAATGGGGGAGTAGCTCGTGTCTAAAAGGTCAAGTGTACAGGTGTGCTTCTATATAAATATGCAATAGATCTTAATCAATTTATACAGCCATTTGGTTATGTTTTATTTATTGAGCATTTGGCATGACGGTATTTATGAATATTGATGAATTCACTAGACAGATTGATGAACTGTTCGCACCCTGGCACGAGCATCAGATAATTACAGGTAGATACTAAATAATTTATATAAATTCAGCGTGTGCTAGATTATTTAGCATTCATCTCATTAAAATCACTTGAATAATTTCTATTTTTTGCACTCATTAAGAAAATCGTTTAAAAACTTTATTTTTATGACAGTAATTAAAAAAGTCTATAAAAAAGCTATATGGGCTTTACCTTATTGAGCTAATCATATTGTGCTGCTGACTGCAAATATCGACCGGCATTTTATTATTATATTGGCTTTGCTTATTTCTTGTTTGTATTTTTATTTTTTAATTAGCGATAATACACATTAAAAATGTTATTAACTTTATTAACTTTGTTCGTTTAGGTTCTTCAAACACTTTTTCACTGCGTTTCACAGATTTTTCTTTTTTTTTTTTTTTGAATTGTAGTAGCTCTTTCCAGCACTGGACTTGTCGAGCGCAATTCCAAAGAACAACTGAAATTTTCCTGAGACGATGCGCGCTCTAAAAAGCAAAATAAACCGGCAGCAGCGACGACGTCGGCGTCAACAGAGGTGGAATAAGTTGAAAAACCAAAAGCTGCACATACACACACAGATATACACACACATACACACGGATAGATACATAATACTTCTGTACAAGCACGCAATGCATGCACTGAGCGCGTGCACTGAGATACACATACAAACAATATTTGTTCTAGATTCTTGGATACCTAAAATTGCTAATTTTATTGGAATATGCAAAATCAAGCACAAACCATGGAAAATATTATTCAATGTAAATATTAGCAGCCCTATCTTTTGTAAGGCTTGCACTACATAATTAAATATCAGCTAAGTATGTTTTGAACCCAACAATTTTTGTCAGTGTAGCCAGAATGTTGTTGTTTATCTTTTGTTTATATTCATTTGTATGTATATACATGTATTCGTTAATCGAATTAAAAACTGTGAACAAAACAAATGCGAGTCGGTTCGTAAACATATTCAAAGTAAAAATCAAAAACAAACTCTATACTATATTCTATTTACTATACATATATGATAAATATATTTATCGGGGTAAACGGCAGATTTATGGCCAAAACAAATATAAACAGAACTGCGACGCGTGCTGATGTTGTCAACCGGCCCTCAACTTTTATATTTTCGAAATGTTCTATATTTTTGAAAATATACTAATGAAATAAGAAAAACATCTTACAAAAAAAAAAACAGTGAATTAGTCACGTTCCAAGTCGCTGCGTGTGGCATTACGTAGTAAGAAAGCTATTGAGATAGTAAACTACTCATTGATTATTTTTATTTACAATTAAAGATTTGTTATTTATTGTTTGTTTCAACTCAAAACAAATAAACAACTTTGTACATACACAATCGCATCGATTATATACGCACACAAACTTACACATGTACATACCCACACTTATCTAAGTGTGTGCGCTTTTTGTTTGCTAAAGCGAGCAAGAGAGATGTTTGAATGGAAATGAGGGTCAACACCAGTACTACCACAACAACAACAACAAGCACAACAACAGCCAACAAACATGTGAGTACTGCGTGATTATCACGCACCCAACGCGTGCAAAATACATGAGCCGGCAAACTGCTCGCTCTCACACACTTTGTCACGCTCTCTCTCACTCTATTTCTCTTTTTCCATCTTCTTCTTTTTATCTCGCTCTCTGCAGCTCTTGTTTTGGTTCTCAATCTCACCCTCAACTCCGCTTGGCTGTGAAAAAGCGCATTGGCCGTTGGCCGCAAGCTACTCAAGTTATGGAATTGGTGCGCTAAAAACAGAATGCGGAGATAGAAAACGCAATGCACATACATGTACATAAAACAGACACATACATACGCACATCTTTTGTACGTAAAGCTGTCTTTGTTCTTTGTTGCCAAACATGAATTTACGCCTTAATATCTTCGCATCCTGATAATAAAAATTTCAGAAATCATTTTGCAGCCTCGTGAAAATGCGATGAGGTCAGTTTTTGACTGTAAACATTTCACAACACTTAAAATGTAAACATATTGAATTATATGGCAGGCACACTTTGAGAACGTACATATGTATACATATATATATTTTTAAATACATACGCAGTGCTTTACGACTGCAGATCGAAAAAAGCGAAAGTCCCATAAAATTGGACAATGTAAACCTTGCGACACACGAATTTATTGCTACTTCACATATGCATACGCACATACATATATTAACATTAATTAAACTCAATTTATGTTATCAATTAAACTCTCATGCTCAATAAAAGAAATAATGACAATGGCACAGAAGATGGGTCAATTGATTGCGCCGATCTTGTGAGATCAGCACATGAAGGCTCGTCAAATGCTAAATAATTTATTTATTATTGTTTTGAGCCACTCTTCAATTGGAAATGGAATTCTCCATTCAATTTAAATAATAGATACATCCATTTGTATAATGATTGACAATGCATTTGCGGCGCCAACATGCCTCAAAAATGTGGCCCACTTGCTTTTAACGGCATCTCACAGTTGCTCCGTCTGGCAACTGATTTACATGTCGGGGAAATGTAACAAATTATGCATCAGTGAGACATTAAATTTTATTATAATCGTTTGCATTTAACCGGAATGAACTGTACACAAGCCGATGCTATTTTTAGGCCCTTTGTGTTGTTGACGATGATCAACACAAAAGACCAGCGTCCACGTTTGCGGGTTGTGATTATGATTTTTGATATGAGTTTAATTTACAATCGTCGATTATATATTACTACTATATATACACACATATACAATTAGAATCTGAGTGCGGATTTCTTTTGTTTTCAATTTCAAGACTGGAGCACTTTCGTTGTCGAGTGGAATATCTAGGGACTGATAGGATGCCACGAGCAGCTATTTTATTTACTGTACACTCGATGGTCATTGGAGGAGTTGTTTATGCAAGATAGCATTATAAGATTAGAATTTAAATATGTTTTATTATGGTATACAAGAATATTATGTATGTATGTATTATGTTGGCTTGAATGTACATACATACATACATGCATATGTAAGGTGGTTCACGCAGACGCCCAGTTTTCGCACGCCAGTTACGAATTACGCAGTAAATGTGCCTCAGTAACGCTATATGCCAATAACATGGAAATTTGATACCCAAATCTAAGCAATCCTTGTTTTTGTATGTTTTTTGCCAACGGTACACCCAAAGAAAGAAAGCGCCTTGTCCATATGTCCTAAACGAGTTGCGTAATTTAACTTAATTATCAGCTTACCTTATAAAAAATATATAATATAAATCGACACAATTTGTAGTTACTGGAAGGTTCTCCAGTTAATAAATCTTCTTTTTTTTTATTAAAATAGTCAAAAATTTAATGTTAACTATGTCCACGCTGCTAGAGCGCTTTTAAAAATGCAAAATAATTTTTTGAGCTACTTGTTTTCCTTGCAAAATGCTTTTTCACTGTTATAGACAACCGTTGCCGCACGGCATACAACTCAAAGGAGGATACGTTTGACTTTGAAATCTCCTTTGCTGGATACTAACAAAACAGCAATGTAAGTGTAAATATAAGAAACGCGTCTGCGCAGTTCAGGTGCCAAATGTTTGCATTTCAAATTTAACTGCCGGTGCTCAAACGTATTTTACAGCACAGCTCTTAACAACATTTAGCAACACTGAATGTTTCAAGACATTTAGCTGAATGATATGAATTGCGTGACAAAAAGCTGGCAATTCTAATATTAATTATTGTTTAGCGCGCTTTTATTTGTTGTGGTTTTTCTGTTATACTTTCACCGACAGCACAATAATCAATAAAAAAAAGGTCAAAAATGAGTGTAAGTACATAATTAAGATATTCTAATGACCATGCGCAAAGCATCTCGATTGATTTTTGCCTGTTTCAAGATATGCCCCTCGACAAATATGTCCGATTCGTATTGCAAATAGTTGACGCACTTTTCCACGTACAGCAAAGATTCCTCAAGCATTTCCCTGGGCGAGAGATTCGATTGTAGGGCTATGCGTCGTGTATTCTCGGAAATAGCTGAATGCAGCTCAAAGCAGAGTGTGCCCAGCATTCGGACTTCACCTATTTCATAATTTTAGTAAATGCGAATAAGTTTTACATGTATGGAATTTACGGATTGACTTACAGGGCGCTATAGTTTCATAGAGTTCAATCAATTCCTTGGCATATTTTAATTTCAATTGCAGATGCTCATCGGATAGTATCATTAGCTCCTGCTGATCCTTGGCAATCAGCTGCACCTGAAGAATTTTAACCTCGCTCAGGTGATAATGCTGCGTGGGCAACCATTTCTCGTAGTGCTTTAAGTATCTGGGAGTAATAATGAAGAGTTATACGCCAGATTAAGGAAGGCAACCAACTTACTTGAAACCATTTTCGGCAGTTTTTTCCATGCTTTGAATATCCTGACTGGCGCGCTCCAATATGCCGTCCACGTACTTTCTCTGCACTTGTTTCTGGCACTCGCGACAGCTGAAACAGAAATCAATTCGATTTAAGGATCTCGTTGGAAATATGGAATCGTAAGCACAAACCGCCAGCTGCCATTCCAGTCGTCCGCCTTGATTGGCAACAACAGGCCGGGACACTTGCGATCCTCACACTTGAGGGCGCTGTAGTTGGTGCCCAGCTCGGTGACATCCAGGCAGCGCTCGCAGCTGCACTTGAAGAGCTTCGTCTGCATCAGATGCCGCTGGCGATCGGCTGTGCCCCAAACGGCGTCCGAATAGCAAATGCTCAAATGCGAATTCTTTTTGATCTCGCGTGGTGCCCAGAGCATGCAGTGTCCATGCTTATTGAAGCTCTTGGCCAGATTGGGCACACACGAGTTTTCCGTAAACGAGGCCGTATAGAATACCGCCACATGCGGTGGATCCGATGTGGGCACCTCGTGTCCATTGATTTGCAGGGCGCCCACGGCACGCATGATTTCCTCCTCGCTGAATTTCTGCGTGCGAAAGAACCTGTGCATGGAAAATGAATTATTGGAAATCTGCTAAACATGATTGCTTATATGTACGTACTTGGGTATGAACTGTCCAATGCTGGCCAGGTCAGCCTTCCATTGATTCGAGCCGCGACGTGTTTGCTCCAACGTTTCCAGTTGCTTGAATTTCGCTGCATTTGCCGGATTTGTCTCGCCAATGAGGAGGCATCTCACCGCGCTGACGCAGGTGTAGAGCGGATGCGGTCCATTGAACTCCTGCACGTTCACCTTTTGACCGCGCTCCTGTGTCAGCTGGCACTCGGCCCTGTGCTCGTCCAGCGCCTGGCACTCCGGCCCACACAGCGGCCAGCCACACTTGTCGCAGGTGATGTGATCGTTCGGCTCGATGCAGTTCAGGCAGCCCATGCAGACCGGCGCCGAGATTTGGGCCGGGCCGCGCATCAGCGGCGCCTCCTTTATAACAATCTCATAGGGTTTGATGTTACGTGTGGCCACCAAATGGCGGCCCAGCAGCTCGTTTTGCGCTATCTGCAATAGTTCGGTTTTTGAGGTTAGAATTTTTTAGGCAGCTCCCAATTAAATCATATATAGTTAATTGTCACCTTAAATGGATAGCATTGGCCTTTGTGCGCCTTCCAGTCCTGCTTCTGATGCTGCACCGAGCAGTACGAGACCTGGTTGCAGTTGGAGCATTTGTTTTTTGTTGCAGTCTCGCACACCTGACACGGATTCATTTTTTGCAAATGTTCTCTGGGAAAAAAAAACCCACCCGAAAGCCGCCACTCAAATTATAGATTTTCTATTCGACAATTTAGACACAATGCTTGTGCATGCACACACGTTTCCGTTTCACTGCCTCAGACCAGAGCAGCGCCGAGATGTGGGACAAGAGAGTTGGGCATATAGAGAGCCGAGCATATGTACATACGGGGGGCTCTATAAATAGACTACACACAATTAACGTGGTGGACCAGTGCTGTGCACGATTATTTTCTAGCTGACATCCCATTTGCTCCGAACAGCTGATGGCTGATCCTAAACAAGAAATTCACAGATAGCGTACAGTTGTTGAATCGTTTAATTTGTTTTGGTTTTTTGGTTTTTTGTGTTTGTTACTTAAGTTCTTTTATTTTCTGTGTTTGCACCATTGGAGGCGACATTATGTACAATTTGTGTTTGGAGGTAGTTAAGGAAGGAATTGGGATGGGCGGGGTGACTGGGTGTAAACGTGTACACAAAGCTTTACACTCGCTTTCCTTTTGTTTATAACTTTCGTTCATCTTTTTCGGGATGGTATCTACAACAGCTCGTATCTGACACGAGGGCTACCGTTGTGTGTATAATATTTGTTAGCAATCCATACGTTTCAATTTATAAATACAATTTTTACATAGTTTATATATATATATAGCCTCCACCCCGTTAAACAGTGAGGTATTGTAACTATTTCTAATGCCTAAACTTTGCTTTTGGCCTAAACATCGGCAGCGATTGACACTCATAAAATGCTTCAGTTTTCCGTTTCGCACCGGCTGTCGATCATATATCAGTCTCCTCATTGGCTCCATTTGCCTCGCGCAGCATCACAAATTTCTGCAGTTTAACATTCTCTTTGTTGTTATTGCGCAGCTTGTTTCTCTCGCGCTTCTTATCCCGCGCCCCATTAACCTGGAAATTATCACTTTGGAATGGTATTGTGTATTCTGTTTGAAATGCAGTTCCTGTCTCCAGCGTCACCGTTGCCGTCGCCGTCGCTGTCGCAGTCGCACTTTGTTCCCTGTCTCGAATATCGTGGTCAGCCTCAGTTTTAGTCAAAGCTCCAGAGGCAGCATCCGCATGCGGATTATAGAGACCTTAACGGTTAAACAATTTTTAAATATTGCTTATAAATTTGATTGCTGCCCATATTTACCTCTCGCACCAAACATCTCGGAGTGCTGTTTGAGGGCATTACGATTTCGGCCACGCTTACGCATATTCATGCGCAAAGCTGCGACCTTAATGGATCTGGCATTCGAACGGCCACGCCTTGAGCTAATATTGTTGGTACTGGTACTTATGTTGCCATTTGACATTGTTTCTGTATATGCTGCCTCGGGCTTTGTGGCCGGCAGCTCCTGCTCAACTGGCCGCATTTCGGGCCCTGGTGATGATGATGGCGTTGGACTTTCATTGTGGGCTCTGCCCAAATTGCTTTCCGTGTCCGATTGATTGTATTGATAGATGTCAGTGGAAATATCCAGATCCTCATCCTCATCCTCGTCATCGTCCTGATCGATTATTTCAATCTCATCAGCCTCATCATCGGACAACGCACTTCTCAGCATTATTTCGGGTCCACCGCCATAAATGCCGCGTAGAAATCGCCAGAGGGGCGCATTGAGCTGGGCATAATCGGAGCCGGCACGCACACAGCTGATGGCCGAGCCGTTCAGCAAATTGGTGTCGGCAATGCCCTCGTTGTTAATGGGTCCCGGTTCCTTGTGGGTTATGCCGCGCAGAAACTGCTGCCACGCGCGCAGCCAGGGCATGGCAATCGCATAGATGGCAGTCGCGTCCAGTTCGCTCTGCTGCACATTGTATTTGGTAAAGACGGCTAGTTCGTATTGCTGGCGGCGATAGAGCAAATCTGCGGCACGCTTGCATATATCGCACTCGAACATAATGTTAACGGCCGGACCGCCGCCGAAACGGTTGTAGAGAAAATCCCACAGCGGCTGCGGAATGGGCACGGCAATTTGACTAATTAACGATGCTTTGGAATGTAGAATACCGCCGTGTGGGCACAGCATATCCTGATTGTTTATCGGACCCGGCTCCGAGAATGTGGCCAGTCGTGATAGCCACTCGCGTGTCACATAGAATTGTATATCGCCTTCGTATAACGGATTCGAGGTGGACAAATTGATCGCCTCCTCGCGCACCATTTTCATTTGGGGATTGTGTTTTTGGTAGAATAGCACATACGCCTGACAGTTCTGTACTACATCTGGCGTAACCTCCATCACGAGCTGATCATCAAACTCGTACCAGCGTCCATTCAGCGCGTTGCGCGCGTAGCACGTATAGTGGCCGCCACCGACGGTGCCATGGTGACAAATGACCGAGCACAGATTGTACGTGGGCACCAGCGATGTGCAATCCTTGTGCAGATACGGCCGCATATCGAAGCCCTCGAGCGGAAAGTATACATGCGAGGATATCTTTGAGCTGTAGGAGAGATCGTGCCTGAAACGCTTCAGATGGATGCACAACACCTCCGGCAAGTTGAGCACACGCGAATACTTGATGCCCGTGCGTAACTTGTTGCAGCGTTCGCAGCTGCAACCGAAAATACACAGGGATTACATATTTGCTTTATATGATAATCAATTCGCCCCGTTTACCTGTACATATTGTCGCCCTTGAGCTCATCCGCGCTGAAAAAACTGGCCATGCAATCGTAGAGCGTTACAGATGGACCGAATATCCATGAACGCACCATATTCCACATCCAGGCAAGCCAGCCCTCGTTGCTGCGCGCCGATGCCAGGTCGGCTGCATTAAGGCTCTGTACGCTCAGGCTGTGTGTCTGGTGCAGAACATTTAGAAAGTCACGGGTCGGTATGGGCAAGGATAGATCCTGGAATGTTTCTTCGCGTGTAGAGATCCGATCACAAGTCAGGCACTGCACAGAGGATAGCAGTTTGCCGTCGAATACATCGCTGATTATTGAATGTGCCGCCTCCACTGGCTTCGATTCATGAACTGTCTTCGGGCTTTGCTGTTGCGTTGTGGATGTATCTGATATGGGATTGCTGCTGCTGTTGCGATGCGGCGCTATGTAGTACTCGGTCTTCATTAGAACTTCTGAGGAGCGCTCCGAGATGCTACTCTCACAGGTATCGTACTCGCTTTCTGATGCGGTGGGCGTATGACATGCCTTTGGCGCCTCATCGTAATTCTCATCATCAGTTTCGCTGGCCTGCTGCTGTTGGCCTTGTGGTAGCTGCTGCTGTGGCGGCTCCGTTAACTCCTCATGCAGCTGATCCATAAAGCAGCGTAGAAATTCTTGTGTGTCATGTTGCTGATAGCCGCGAAACATTGGATGTACTGACCGAATGCCATACAAAATACCACGCGGCGCCAGAAAATCTGCAATAATTGAATCTTAAATAGAGAACCATTTCAAATGAGATGCATATACTAATTACCCTTTGGATCGTCGACTTCCAGCCACATTTCCTGCATCAGGCGTTGATAGCTTTTAGCTAAACCAGCCGGCTTGGAGCGCGGCGTGCTCGCAATATGCTCCACAAGGTCGCTGCAGTTGATAAAGTAATGCGTCACTGGAGATAAATTACTCAGCGCCTGCAGAGCCGAATTCATGTAACACGTATTCGCAATGTTCTGCAGGCCGACAAGGCCAGTGCCCGAGCCCGTGGCTTCATCATCGAAGTCATCGCGCCTGGCTAACGAATTAAGCGAGCAGCTAAAGAGTTTTCCTTTGTCCTGGTATCGCATATTACGCATCGACAGGCTGTTTATCGTCTATGTCAATAAAAGTGCAGGGTATTGGAAAAATTGAAAAGTCATGTAATAGAGTTTGATTCAGCTGGCTCACCTTTTGACCCAGGTCCAATTCGGTGCAGTGCTTACTTTCTATGTATGAGCATTTTTGTGGATTGTTGAAACTCAAACTCATTATATGGTTCGCTTTCGAATAATTAATATTACAACTTTAATTGAGAATTTTGATAAGAGTTCGTTTTTTTTATTTTTGTGGTGCTTTGAACGCTACGCTAGCGAATGTAACTACTGCATTGACCAGGCGTTGTACTGGAAGACCGAAGCTTCCAGAACATGCAACTTGACCGATGGTTGTATCCACGAATTTTAAAGGACAAAAATCTACCACTTTCGCTATAAAAATAAAAAGAAATGTTTTTATGCCTTCAGACAGTTCGCTCGAATATAGAGATGGCCGATACTTACGCACTTGTTACTTTGTCACGAGTAGATATAGCACAGTAGCGATTCGAGTGTAGGTCAAAACTGCCATATCGCTATTGTGACCCTTTAAAAATATCAAGAAATTCCCACCTTAGCAGGTTTTAAAACCAATTATTTGCTCTATACAAATTATTTTAGTGTTGGATTGGCTGCTATTGGCTTTGCACGAGTCTCAGTGGCGGCCAGTCGATTAGTTAGGTAGATCCGATAAGATAGTCGATATTTCGCTGTCCTTGGCTGATTAGAAGAACGTTACAAATGGGTAGCGCTTCATCTCCTATTCCAATTAAATGTACACCTTTTAAGGTTTAAAAATCGATTTGTGTTAACTAAAGTAGCTTTTTTTATGGTAATGTTTTGCTATTGTTATCGATTGAGTTGTAACCAGTAATCTGCAAAATTCAAATTTGTGCTACATTTGCAGTAATTCTTTCGGACTAGTTAAAATCGGGATCAGAGCTTTGCTGTTAAACTATGAACTAAGAACGCTTTTTAAAGAAAGAGTTCACGCTGTTAACAACAGTTGGAAAAACTGTTAACTAAGGTTTGGCCCAGGGACATATGCGTTAAGTTAGAATCGGTCTTTTATTTATTCTTTAAATATTTCGATTCAGGTAGAATTAATCAACAAAGCGCATATGTTTGAATAAAGCCAACTCAATCTAGCAAGCCTTAAAATTTGAACCAAATCGATCTAACATTTTAGAGATACTTATAAAGCAGTGCAGCCAAAGAAAATTACATAATTACCCTAATGTAGTCTAGTCAAAATGCTTATCGAACTGTTAGCACGAACTGGAACTGAACTACTTCTTGAAATTAGTGTTGAACAATTGTATTAAGCTAGGAGCGGGAACAAAGCAATTCAAATTATTTGTATTTCTCAAAGTGAGCGATGCTTATTTGAAGCACGTGATTGTCGACCGTTGATGACAAGAAGTACTATTTTAGAGTTTTGAAATAGTTAAAATTTTCATAAATATCTGAATGTTTGTATCTTAACTACTAAAATGTTAATATGGATTTATATATGTGAATTTATTTTCCGTACAATACTACTTAGTTGCGCTTTGATCGAAAGGCTGCAATAGATCGAAACTGATTACACTAAAATAATGACTAGCAGCCCGAGAGCCATTTACATCGTGCCAGTTTGCAATTTGTGCAATGTGTAGTAGAGTCCACGGTTCTGGAGAAGCTCTTTGTGATTGCCGCTTTCACAGACGACTCCGTTCTCGAATACGTAGATAATATCCGAGTCGGCAATGGTGGACAATCTATGGGCTATGCTAATTGTGGTGCGTCCCTCGGCAGCCACATCCAATGCCTCTTGAACGATCTGTTAGGTAATAAGCAGGAATAAGCATTAAATATTTTCCAAACAGCAAAAACGGTTGCCAACTAACCTTCTCGCTTTCCGCGTCCAATGCTGATGTAGCCTCATCGAGCAGAAGTATTTTCGGATTTCGAATGAGGGCGCGTGCAATGGCAATACGTTGTTTCTGCCCTCCGGATAACTGTGCGCCCTTCTCACCCATTCGTGTTTCATAGCCCTGGCAAAAACGAAGTAGAATAGAATTGAGAAAATCTAAGGGAAGCACATTGGATGGGGACTCACCAGCGGCAAATTGGCAATGAACTGATGTATATTGGACTTCTTGGCCGCCGCAATAATCTCCTGATCCGTGACAATTCGGGAATTGTCACCATAGGCAATATTTTCACGTATGCTGCGATCGAATAGGATCGGCTCCTGCGAGACAATGCCCAGCTGCATGCGCAGATTTGAAATGGCCAATTGGCGGATATCATGGCCATCGATCTGCACGGCACCAGCGTCCACGTCGTAGAATCGCTGCAGCAGCTGAATGCAAGTGGATTTGCCGCAGCCCGACGGACCCACCAGTGCCACTTTCTGGCCAGTTTGCACCGCAAGAACTAGGTCCCGCAGCACCTGGACTTCCTGACGCGTCGGATAGCTGAATTTCACCTTATCGAACAGCACATTGCCGTTAGAGTGCCAGGGCTTCAAGGAGACGCCAGGACTGTCGGCAATTAGTGGCTTACGCTCCAGGAATCTCAGTATGGTCACAGCAGCACTTATCCCCTTCTGCATGTTGGGAGCAAAGGCCAATGCGTTGCCGATGGATGCGGTGCCTATGATCAATGCCTCCGATACTCTGCAATGGGAAATGTACTAATAGGTCGTTTTTCCACGATTTGTTGGATTCGCTGCAGCTCACTTGAACACGTCGCCAAACTGTAGACCCCGATTGACCACACACCAACCGCCATAGGACATGCATGCTGCATAGGCAAAGAACATCATTGAGTTGGACAGGCCGTAGATAAGGCCTCGATAGTGCGTATTCTTCTGCGATGTCTACACAATTATATGGCTTTAATATATATGATTGTCCGGAACACAAAGGAATGTTTCACCTTAACGGCTGGTGACAGCGTCTCGATGTAGCTGCGATGGAACATGTCCTCGCGTCCCAGGGAAACCACCGTGCGTATATTTGATACCACCTCAACGGCTAATTTGGTTGTGCTCTCCATTATTTTGGCATTGCCCATGTTCTCCTGTTCCATGATTATGCTCTGCATATAGAAGGAGATTATAATTAAGGGCGTAAACGCCATTGCCACCAGGCCCAAGCTCCACTCATAGTACATGGACAGACCGATGCTCAACAGCAGAGTTGCGATCGATTGGATAATGCTGCCAATACGCTGACCCGTCGCCTGCAAAGATAAATAAAAAACCATTAAAAACAAGTAGAGACTAGGGGATACCCTGAACCCTCATCTTCCAACAGGCGATAGGTATAATATGAAAGATACTTGATATATATATACTATTCTAGAAGCTACATGTCAAGTTTGGTGATTTTAGCCCTTATTATTTACCAAAATTGCTCAAAAAAGAGGATTTCGATATCGCTTTTTATCGATTACTTAGAAACGGGGCAAGTTATCGATTATCGGAAGCAAACTCGATCTGCGCATGGACTAGGAAGACATACAGCTAAAATTTCAGGTCTCTAGCTCTTATAGGTTCTGAGATCCTCGCATTCATACGGACAGACGGACGGACGGACGGACATGGCTAGATCGACTCGGCTGTTGATGCTGATCAAGAATATATATACTTTATGGGGTCGGAGATGCTTCCTTCTGCCTGTTACATACATTTGCACAAATACATTATACCCTTTTTACCCATTATTAATGGGTTCAGGGTATAAAAAGGCTAATATTTGTTTGGAATTGTTCGATCAACTTACGCCCTGTACAGCGGCTGCATCGCCGGATAGCCGGGCGCAGAGACTGCCCGTACCGTTGGCGCGATCATCAAACCAGGAGACCTCCTGTTTCAGCATGCTGCTGAACAGGAGTCCTCTCAGGCGTTCCGTGAGGCGCTCGCCCGCAATGCCGAAGAAGAAGATCTGCATAAATGTGGCGATGCCAACAACAATGCCAGCGATCAGAAAGTACAGACTATACTGGGTCGTGTTCTCCCTGACGTAATCATCGTCCTGGGATTCCATGACCTGCAGAATGCTGCCAAAGAGCAGGGCGAAAACGGGCATAGCAAAGCCCATTATAATTGAACATATGCAACCGACTGTGATTTGCATCCATTCCGGTTTGTTCAGTTTCATGATGCCCCACAAGATGGAGCCCTCATTTTGGTCCTTCTTTGCTTTTTTCTTTTGCTTTTGAACTTTCGGATCTTCTTCCTCGTCGACCGCGTCGTGTATAATTTTAATTTCCTGTTCGTCCTCATCCTTGATGTCGAGGTTCTTATAGATATTGCCGCTGGGACTGAGCGCGCTGCCATCGTCATCGCCCATCTGCGTGGTCACCAAATTGAAGTAGTGGCCCCTTATCGTCATCAGTTCCTGGTGAGTGCCGGTCTCCACGACCTGGCCATTGTTCAGTACCACGATCCTGTCGGCACGACGTACTGTCGACAGGCGATGGGCCACAATGATTGTGGTCCGACCCTGGCTAACCTTCTCCAGGGCAGCCTGCACCTTTGCCTCGCTGGCCGTATCGAGTGCAGAGGTCGCCTCATCCAACAATAGTATTTCCGGATCACGAATCAGAGCGCGAGCAATGGCAATGCGCTGTTTCTGCTCGCCGGACAACTGGGCTCCACGTTCACCCACCAGTGTGTCGTAGCCCTTCGGGAGTTTTTTAATGAATATGGCAGCGTTTGCTGCTGCGGCTGCCGCCTCAATGTCCGCCCTGGTGGCATCCTCTCGGCCATATCGTATGTTCTCGTATATGGATTGGCCGAAGAGCACGGGCTCCTGGCCGACCACTCCGATGCGCTCGCGCAGCCAGTTAATGTTGATATCCATGATGTTGGTGCCGTTAAATAAAATGTTTCCGCCCTGCGGATCGTAAAAGCGCTGCAACAGCTGTATGCAGGTGGACTTGCCACAACCCGAGGGACCCACCAGAGCCACCGTCTGGCCGCGATGGATCTTCAGATTGAGCTTTTGCAGAATGGGTATCTCTTTGCGCGTGGGATACTGGAACTCAACGTTGCGGAATTCGATGGTTGTCAGCGGCTCGTTGAGGCTCTTGCCGCGCGGCTGGATTGGATTGATGGTTGGTATCTGCTCAATGATATGGAATACCTTGGCGCAGGCACCCCTTGCTATGCCAAATGCCTCAATATACGGCGATGCCATGCCCAAGTTCATGGAGCCCATCATAACCGAGAAGAACACGGTTATCATCGTGCCGGCCGTATAGTTATCATAGTACGGATCATGGCGTCCGTTGATAACCAGTCCAATGCCATACCAGAAGGCCAGGCCATACGAGCCGTAGATCAGGAACCACAAGAGTCCGAAACCAATGCCGGAAAACATATTACGCTTAATGTTCAGATCCTTGGCCGCGACGACTTTCTCTTTGTAGGCGGCGACCTCCTTATGTTCGCCCTCAAACGCCTTGACCGTGCGCACTCCGGACAAAGCCTCTTCGGCCACGATTGCGGCACCAGCATACATATTGACCTCCTGTTTAGCCAGCTTGGATGTGGCTATTGCCACAAAGCTCATGGCAATAAGGGTCACCGGCAGACTAGAAAGGCATACCAACGAGAGCTGCCAGCCCTTGATAAAGGCAAGGATAATGGATCCGACAAAGGCAACCATTAAATTCGCAAATATCACAACTTTTTCGCCCAGACCATTCTCCATTTTCGCAAAAATCTCTGTGGAGTTTAAGATAAACATTTAAGATCTCTGGAAAATAATAAAAGACTTGTACTTACTCGTTCATTCGGCTGGCTACCTCGCCGCTCTGATTGATATCGTACCAGCTCATGTCCTGATGCAGGACAGATTTGAAAAACTTGGAACGTATGCTCATTGTTTGCGAGTGGGCAGCATAATTGAAGCACGTGATGGCCATGTAACTGCAGCAGAGCATCACAAGGCCAATGTAGGTCACGTTCAGCGAAAACTTTTGCACCGCGTCCAGCAGGGCTTGCGAATTGGAAGATTCTCTCATATAAGCAGCTTCCTGGCCAAGTCCACTAAGGTTAATCATGTCCTACAAAAATTCGTCAGCATTAATGTTCAATAATAATAAAAAATATTTCAATAAGGTACGATTGAAGGTACTTAGGCGCACTTTCTTTTCATAGTTAATCAACCTAACGAGCTGGAGGAATTTCTTATCAGCAAGTCAGATCACTCCAATTGGAAACATTTGACTACGATCTGATTCCACTTGGAATCATCTTCTGTGGAAATCTTTTTACATATATATGGAAAAGTCAAATTTGGTAGTTCCAAAGAGGCAAGATCGCATATTGATTGACTTACGTTAGCAAGATCTCCAAAGATCAGACTGTTCGCTGGCGTTGTCAGACCCATTCCAAGCGCACAGATCAGACCGATGCTGTAGAGGATGCGATCCTTCTTCGATGCATAGCGGAACATCGTGAAGAAACCCACTGGCTTGATCTCTTCTTTCGGTTTGTCATCCTCATCGCTGTCCGCTGCTTCTTTGTGCTTCGAATTCTTTTTCCTTTTATTCGGTTCGCTGAAAGAATTATACGTCAAAACTATTGAATCCATAAATTGGCCAAAAGCCACACCTCTTCACACGCCATTCGATCTTCATTTAATCTAATACATTTCTTATCGCTGGCCCCAGCACCAATTGGAATTGTCGAATTCGCATTCTCGGCTATAAAACTACTTTTTTTTATTTTAGTTTTTATTTTTTATAAAATTGTTTGTCCTGATGGATTGACTGAATGGTGTTCAATTCACAGCTCATATTGAATTTGAAAGATTCGATCCACAAGCGGGAAAAACGCTGGTCAAAAACTACACAGCTTGGCAAACGCGACGTCGTGCGCCTTTCTGGCTTAAGTAAAATTAAAAGTCGTTGGTACAACTCAAGCAACAACAGTCAATTATATATATATCTATATATAAAACTGTTTATACTGGCTGACTGACTGACTGACTGATTGGTGATCAACGCACAACGCATTCCGTAAGAGTTAGAAATCTAAAATTTCCAATGCTGTTACCTTAGGTGATGAAGGTGCACGTTAAGACGGGGTTACAGGAAATTCCACTCGCATGTGTGGAAAAATCGCGAAAAACGTTCTATGAAACGTTTAACATACATACATACCTACAAACCCACATACCTAGATACATACATACATACATACATACATACATACATACATACATACATACATACATACATATATACCTACACACCTACATACCTACATACCTACATACCTACATAACTACATACATACATACATACATACATACATACATACATACATACATACATACATACATACATACATACATACATACATACATACATACATACATACATACATACATACATACATACATACATACATACATACATACATACATACATACATACATACATACCTACATACCTACATATCTACATAGCTACATACCTACAATTCTACATACATACATACATACATACATACATACATACATACATACATACATACATACATACATACATACATACATACCTACATACCTACATACCTACAATTCTACATACATACATACATACATACATACATACATACATACATACATACATACATACATACATACATACATACATACATACATACATACATACATACATACATACATACATACATACATACATACATACATACATACATACATACATACATACATACATACATACATACATACATACATACATACATACATACATACATACATACATACATACATACATACATACATACATACATTCATACATACATACATACATACATACGTACCTATATACTTACATACCCACATACCTACTCCGCCCCCTTGGCCCTCCTCCTGCTCTTCCGCCATGCTCCTCCGACTCCTCGGCTTCCAGCGTTGAAGCCGCCTGCCGCCTAATTCATAGGTGAAGCCTGCAGGCCTTACTTACATTTTTGAGAATCGAGGAGGACGGCAGCTTTAATAAATACGTTTCCTTATTTAAATTTGCCACGCAACAAGAAAAATTGATCTGCTATTGGTATTTTATAAGACAATTTACATGCATACATACATGTACATACGCACATACATACATACACACATGCATACACATACATACATAATTACATTCACACATTACAATTAAATCAATTTTGCATCTAAATCTGGCAAGATTTTTCTTAGTCAAATTTCAGGTATAAATGTTACCCTCAAATATTCTATATAGACATCAGAAAATGACCCTTTTGATATTTGCAAATTTCGTTTGATTGATGGAAGAATCCTATGATTTATAGTGGTTATCGGGGCAGATTTATGTATCTATGAAGTTGGCACAAAATATCAGTTGCATTATCAGTTGACCCCAGCCACGACATTGGGTTATTATTAATTTGTTAAATGATATATTGATAAACTGTGATAGGGAAAGGTAGGAGAACACGGCAAAAATGCAGGATAATTATTCAACTCACAAGCTTTTGTGTTCTTTGTCTTTGTCAGCAAAGGATTGACCCAAGACAATATTCGTCTTGTTATGTGACAATCGACTGTCGTCATCCTTGACGCTGTTGCCGTATGAAGCGGTCATTATTTTATATGATAATAACTTCAATGATTATGCACTTAATTTTAAGGGCGTTTTGGAACGCACGAACTGTATAACAGCGCGGTTAGAAGAAGACTTGCGAAATTGGCCAAAACAAATGAGCTTATATATGCGTATAGCTGGGCCCCAACTTATATTGGTCGATATCGGCCCATGTTTATCAATTTATTGTGCTATTAACAAGCGAAGAGCATGACCATGGACTAAACTAGTTACGTTTAAATAGAAAATGCTTCAATTGTTTATAATCTTGTTGAAATCCAAATTTATCATTTGTGATTTAAAATTTGTATTTTTATTAATTTAGGCCCAATTCAATGACCGCCCAAAGCCAATAGAGCGTTTAACATTAAGCCGATAAGCCGAAACGATTCAATTATGGATTTCATCATTCATTATTGAATCAACATTTAAGAGCGCGATTCGTGCGCGCGCTCCCTCCGACTCTCTGTTTATCCTTATCTCTCTCGCCTTTAGCTATCAAAGCCGATTACATATTCAATTTCGTTGTTAATTTCAAAAGCTTTACAGCATTTTACAAGATACTTAAGAAAATGCTGTTTGCGAATACGTGTGAAGAATGGTAGAGCTCATAATTGCTGAGAGCTATTTGATAAAGTAGTGCGATCGTGATAAGATTTGGCTTATATATTAGGAGCATAGTGAAATTTATAAAAATGTTGGGATTGGTCAAGATTTCTTAATAAACAAAAGAGTTATCCATAAAAGAATATAATTTTCGACTGGTAGCTCCTTTGACAGTTATATCATATAGTGATCCGATATTATGACAAATTTATAACTACCTCTTCAAGGGTATACAAATTTGTATAATTTATTAACACAATATAAGTAAAAAAAAAATTACTACACACAAAAAATTTGAATTAATCCCGCCCAAAGCATCATAAAATTGTTGAGCACTGAGTTCAATCAGTGAATCAGTTCAGAGCGAGCTTGTAGTTCCGTCGGCCTTTTAAATAAGCCTCTTACAATTGGTTGACAATTAATTCGGTTTCTCAAAAAATATCTGATGAATCAGCTTACAATTAATGCGTAAAGCTTCTTAAAACATGTATCTATCATAAATACGTACCCTATTTTTAGATAAGATATTGGGGTTCAAGTGGAAGGCTAATATGTTGATGTTAATTTTGGGAGCAGGGTTACTGCACTGTTATTTTTTAAATATATCAAAAACGTAACTATCAATTAAATTGTTCAAATTAATTATTAAACTATTTACCACAAGTAATATTTTATGCTAAACAGAATCGGAGTGCCCCTATTAAGAAAAAGCGCTCGCTGTTAACAACAGTTTAGCAAAGTTAAGTTAGCTGTTGGCCCAGGGCAGCAGAAAAATAAATGCGAACTAGAACTAAATGAACGATTATCGAGGACGTCCAGTTAAGTGAGTCGTTCGATCGAACTTATTCCGAACGATTCGATACAACTCTAGTATACACAAAAGGTTTAAAATAAGTACTTTTCTTGTGTGATAAACAGCAAAGTGTATTAAAGGATACTTCAAAACGGCAACTTAAAAGCAAAGTTCGCAATAACAAACCGCAACATGGAGCCTACATTATAGTTTTGCGTGCATCGGCTGCTGGAAAACGGTAACAACAGCCCTGCCCCATTGCTTCCCCCTTGTATAACGACCCTGTTCCCTAAGTGCACTGCTATTCCTGCCTTGGACACAGGACACAAAAGTGAAAACTTTTAGGCTGATTGGAAATCATATTAATAAATAGACTGTACAAAGAACAAGCTATAATGAGATGAAGTGTTATAAAACCAAATGAATAATACACAATGAGTGGCACTATTAAACATTTAGAACATAATATTTCAATTTCAAGCTGTGTGCACCGCCTGTGGTTGTGAAGTACTGTACTAAAACGGGCCACTCATAAAAAATGCATTTCTAGTGGTTTTTCAGTTAAACTCAGAGAATTGCAAAGTCAACACGCAGGGTCAGTCAGTGGCAGAGATAAGCAGGATCATGACCTTGGAAACACAACCGGTTGGCGGGGGGCTGTGCGATGGCAAGATTGCTGGACTATATGATCTAGAAGAGACACTCGGCTCGGGCCACTTTGCCGTTGTGAAGCTGGCCCGACATGTGTTCACGGGTGCCAAAGTGGCAGTGAAAGTCGTCGATAAAACAAAGCTTGACGAGGTGTCCAAAGCGCATTTGTTTCAGGAAGTTCGGTGAGTCACATATTTCACCTGAATATTATAGCACACAAAGTCTGACCAAACTTTATCTCATCTCCGCAGCTGCATGAAGCTAGTCCAGCATCCAAATGTGGTGCGGCTCTATGAGGTCATTGACACACAGACCAAGCTATATCTGGTGCTGGAACTGGGCGATGGTGGCGATCTTTATGATTATATAATGAAACACGATGCCGGACTGAGCGAGGAGCTGGCGCGCAAGTATTTCCGGCAGATACTTCGCGCGATCACGTACTGTCATCAGCTGCACGTAGTGCACAGGTAAGCATAGATAATTCATAGAAACATTCGCATACATTTTACGTAACCTTTTTCCGTGACTCGTTCAGAGACCTGAAGCCAGAGAATGTCGTATTTTTCGAAAAGTTGGGCCTTGTCAAGCTCACGGATTTTGGGTTTAGCAACAAATTCTCGCCGGGCCAAAAGCTGGAGACATTTTGTGGCAGTCTCGCATATTCGGCCCCAGAAATTCTATTGGGCGATTCATACGATGCGCCCGCCGTAGGTAAGTGTATCTGTGTGCGTGTACATTCGTTTATCACATGATAAGCTCTTTTAAATTATTGACATTTTCTGCTAGATATTTGGTCACTGGGCGTTATACTGTATATGCTGGTTTGTGGCCAGGCGCCTTTTGAGAAGGCCAACGATTCCGAGACGCTGACCATGATTATGGATTGCAAGTACACGGTGCCTTCGCACGTGACACAAGAATGTCGCAGCTTAATTGCAACAATGCTGGTACGAGATCCAAAGAAACGCGCCACTGTTGAGGAAATCGCATCATCCGCTTGGCTAAAGCAAACCGATGAGCCCGACTCTGTGGAGCATTCACTGCCACTGGTCAGCCGAGAACAACTAAGTGAAGAGGATCATGCCTTTATTATACAGAAAATGATAAACGGAAACATTGCGTCCAAGGAAGAGATACTGCAGTCTGTATACGGTCAAGCTAATATTATTATTTTTACTTATGCAATATTTTAATACAGAGCTCTGGATAAAAATAAGTACAATCATATTACGGCCACATATTTTTTGTTGGCTGAACTGCGTTTGCGCAGGCGGCGAGAGGAGGCAAACAAGCAAAAGCTTCATGAGGCTGGCCTAAAGTGAGTGGATAAACGTAAACATATATTTATATATACATATTGCTTATCATTTAGACTGGGTGACGTTAATCGCAGGCCCGTCGCAGATAAGCCGAGTCCAACGGAAAGTCCCAAAGTAGTTGTGCCTATTAGCATTAATGTGACGCCGGCAGCACAATTTGGCAATGATAATGCCAAGCCCGTAAGTTTTCAGCGAACGAGCAACAAATTGATAACACTAATTAATTAAATGATCTTAGGATAAGCGAACTCGCAAATGCAGTATTGTGCGGGAGGAGGACGAAGAGGAGTCTGCCAATGAGGGCTGTGGCATTGGAAATGAGCTAAAAGTGGCTTTAACGCGACGTGAGTCCATTTCCGATGGACGCCTTAATCGCTCGGTGGAGGAGCACAGCAGCTCGTCAGCACCTGTACCAGCAGCCGATGTGCCAACAAATACACGCACAAAGATTGTCGTGTCCGTTGATACGACGCTTGCTCAAAAGCTAAAGCAAATGGAAAAATGTGCCAAGGTGGATGAGGATACATTAAGTGGCTTAAAAGAACTAGAGATTGGAAAGCTAAAGCCATTGCCCAGCAGTAGCAAGAATCCTGTGCTGACGCATCGCCGTACAAAGTTAAACAAGATACGTACGCCATCGTGCAGCAGCTCCGAGGCATCCGACGATGATACAAAGACACGTAACAAGAAGAAGATTAACAAATTTGTTGGCGATACTCCCATCAGATTTCGCATGCATCGGCGAGACTCACATGATGACTCCAGCGATTCGCAGGATCAATTGTATCCACCACCCGGCTCCAATAGCAGCGGTGCCAATTTCATTTCAAATAGTAATTCCGGCGTGAGTGGCAAGAAGGAGGAGCAGGGACAGAATAAAGAGGTAAATCGTGCAAGAGTAGCAGCAATGAGCTCATATTTAAATACATTTCTCTCATTACATTTCAAGCCAAATAAATCCGAGGAAACTCGCAAATCTCACACACAAAAGAATAGAAAACAGCATAAGGAACATGTTGATAAACATTCCCAAGCGGAAAAACAGCAATTGGCGGTTTTAGATTTTACCCCAACAACGCGAAGACGGCGCATTCGCGAGAGCCAATCCCTGGATCGCATTACAGAGGCTCAGGAGTACGAACTGCGTCACCGCAGCTATATAAATGAAGCAGCAGCCGCCGGTGGTACAACAGCTGCGACAGGCCAACAACATATCGAGCAAAGAAATTCATTATTCAATTTAAACACATTCTCAGTTGCCGAAACTAAAGAAGAATATGACGAGGAGTCCGAAATCAGGTCGGACAAAGATACCACGGACCAAATTATGAACACATTGAATGCAGCCAAAGCAACGCTTCAGCAAAAGCAATATTTTAATGACAACAATTATAGTAAGAACTATAATATCTTTAATAATAACAACAACAACAACAACAGAAACAACAGTAGTAGCAACAATAACAACAACACCAACACCAACAAAAAGAAATCCAACGAAACACCAAAAGATATTTATAATCTAAATTCAATCGAGGAAATCGATTTGATTTTGGAAGATAAAAGCCTTACCAAAGCAATACATGTTACCGGCTCTAAATGCTTTGTTACTATGAAGAAAATTCGTAGGCTCGGAAAGTATTTTCCGGTAGTGAACTTTTCTTAATAGTTATCGTTAAATATAGCTGCAAAGTGCATTCTAAATCTTAAAACGTAGAAAATATGTAGGAAATATGCATGTACGTGTATGTATAACAAAAAACAAAAACAAAAAAAAAAGAAAAAGCAAAAAGTTTATAAAAATACATATACGACAATTTAATATTAGCTGTAGAGTAATTTAATTTATTATGCAATCTTTAACTAGCAATAAAAGAAAGGCACATTTTTTGACATTATGCTAAACTCATTTACTAATGAGAACGTTGCCTAATCTCGAAACACCATTCGCACAATTAGTTTTCGTGCAATTCCGAAAAAAATGTTTGTATTCTATGGCGATAAGTGTGTGCGTACAATGTACAAGCCAATTCAAATAAAGTCAATAATATAAACACCATAACAAATGTTTAGAATGACCAAAACATAGGGTATCAACTTTGCGCTCTGCTTATACTTCATATCGGTTGTGTCTGAAATCGATAATCGAGTCGCCACCAACTAGAGATGTGCAATATACTGATTTGTGGGTCATAAGTACAACTGTAACTGGTTACTTCTCGTTGCTTATGTTAAGTAACAGGTACGTGCAAGACGCTCATCACTATTATGAAATTTTTGTGGAGAAAAAATTGAAAATAATATTTAAAAGAATATAGGCATAGTAAACTGTGTGAAAACTGTAGCCTCAACAAGCAATAATGTTGCGCATCTATCAGAACACATACCGGTAAGCATTGCACGTGGCAATCTCAAGCCGGTGGCAATTTTCATACGCCGATTTCGTCATCGCCTCTCCCATGTCGAATTCGCATTTGCAGGCGAACCGCAAGAAAAGCCGTTGTTTACTCCACCAAGGTGATCTGCTGCAATCATTCCACGCTATGCAACATCACCAGGCAACCCCGCCGCAACGGTGCAGGCGCCCAATGGGAGCAGCACCACAGTCGCAGCCACGAACAGTTTCTGCTTGCTGGCAACCAAGCGAGAGGCTGGACAATACCGCCCCACTCCCGCGGCTACGGCATGTTCGTCGTACGTATTCTAAAAGGCGCCCTCAAGCTGCGATACCTTGTGCTGGGCGGTGCCATTGGCGGTGGCGTTTCATTGAGCAAAGTGAGTAGAAAATCTAGCAGCCCCCTTGTTATATAATGTGCAAATTGTAATTATACACGTGCAGAAATACGAGGATTGGAAGGAGGGGCTACCCGATATGAAGTGGCTAGAGGATGCACTGCCTCAGGGTGAGAGGTGGAGTCAGTTCTCTCAGAATCTCATTGAAATGGGCAGCGTAGTTAAAAATGCCATTGACATCGGTGAGTTTCTCTTACGCCGGGCTTATAATCTATGCCTAATCTCTCACTTTAAATTGCCATAACAGTTAGTTGATAAATGGGCTAGGGGTTAAGGGAGTCTCTAACGATGCACCACAATTCGCATATATTGTGTTTCTTAATAATTTATTCACTCGCCTGCTTTTTGGCCGTTTGGTTTGATTTTGACATTTGTATTTACAATACACTTCGCTGGGGCATATTGCTTGAGTTTGGCCTGAGAATGTTGTTATTGATGATATTGGGGTTTGCTTGTAGATCCGAGGCTCAAGCAGCTTGGCGAAGATAAGTTGTCGGAATGGCGCTCGTGGTTCGATTCTCGCCTGGACGATGCAATTGAAGCGGCCGACTATCAAGGAAATCAAATTGTCGAAAGTAGGTTACACATTTCAAAACAATTTGCCGAACATAATGCATTTAAAGTGAGAGAATTTATGTTCGCCCAACTAGTTAACTAATTATATATGTGTTTCAAACTCAATTGCAGCCAAGGAGGATATCAGGTCCAAGACAACTGTTGCAGCGCTGGGCATACCCGCAGACGAAAGTCGTAAGAAATATGGTTAGATATAGAGTTTTGACGGCATACACATTATTTATTTTACCATTTGTTTATTTTTTAGAGAAACTGCAGAGCCAAGTGGAAACGCTTCAGACTGAAATAATGAATGTGCAGATCAAATACCAAAAGGAGCTTGAGAAAATGGAGAAGGAGAATCGTGAGCTGCGTCAGCAATATCTCATACTTAAAACAAACAAGAAGACGACGGCAAAGCGCATTAAGAAATCTTTAATTGACATGTACTCGGAAGTGCTAGACGAACTGTCCGGCTATGATACGGGCTACACCATGGCCGATCATTTGCCGCGTGTTGTTGTTGTCGGGGATCAGAGCAGCGGCAAGACATCTGTGCTAGAGTCTATAGCCAAGGCGCGTATCTTTCCACGTGGCAGCGGCGAAATGATGACGCGCGCCCCTGTCAAGGTAACGCTGGCCGAGGGACCGTATCATGTGGCCCAGTTTCGTGACACGGATCGTGAGTACGACTTAACCAAAGAGTCTGATCTGGCTGATCTGCGTCGCGAGGTGGAGTTCCGTATGCGCGCCTCTGTGCGCGGCGGCAAGACGGTAAGCAATGAGGTGATTGCGATGACCGTCAAGGGCCCTGGACTTCAACGCATGGTGCTGGTCGATTTGCCAGGCATCATTTCGGTACGTAAGTAAGGGATTGGATTGAAGAACCTTAATTTAACATTGTTTCAATTATTTTTAGACCATGACAGTTGATATGGCATCGGACACCAAGGACTCCATTCACCAAATGACAAAGCATTACATGAGCAATCCAAATGCGATTATACTGTGCATACAGGATGGCTCAGTTGATGCGGAGCGCAGCAATGTCACCGACTTGGTCATGCAATGTGATCCCTTGGGTCGCCGGACAATATTTGTACTTACCAAGGTCGATTTGGCCGAGGAGTTGGCGGATCCTGATAGAATAAGAAAAATTCTCTCAGGTAAACTGTTTCCCATGAAGGCGCTGGGCTACTATGCCGTTGTCACGGGTCGCGGACGCAAGGACGACAGCATAGATGCTATAAGGCAGTACGAAGAGGACTTTTTCAAGAATTCCAAGCTATTTCAGTAAGTAGCAGGTGCTCAGTGCAAGATTGTCTCTATATCTTCATCATCTTTGCAGTCGACGCGGGGTGATCATGCCGCACCAAGTGACGAGTCGGAATCTAAGCTTAGCCGTTTCCGATCGTTTCTGGAAGATGGTGCGCGAAACTATAGAACAGCAGGCGGATGCATTTAAGGCGACCAGATTTAATCTGGAAACCGAATGGAAAAACAACTTTCCCAGGTGAGCAAACAAGATAATACAGATATTTTTTTATATTTATGGCATGCTTTTTATAGACTACGCGAATCTGGCCGTGATGAGTTATTTGATAAGGCCAAGGGCGAAATACTGGACGAAGTTGTTACACTGTCACAGATCTCAGCCAAGAAATGGGATGATGCACTCACTGCTAAGCTGTGGGAGAAACTATCGAATTATGTCTTCGAAAATGTTTACCTACCCGCTGCACAGTCAGGTTCTCAAAGTAATATTTTGTATATATAAGTATTAAGTTCTAAGCCAAGCCCAACGCTTCGATGGGGGGCAGAACCATCCACCATTTACGTGTCTGTGCTTGTGTGTTAAACAGCCAAATGCCTTAGCAGGAAATTCAGATGAGGGAATCACACGCGTAATAAGCAAAAATGAAACCTGTTTCAATTCGCGCATCCCCTTTCCATTGAATCGTGTCTTTAAATATAATTTGTGTGTGCTCCCCAATTCCAATTTCATTAGCGCCATTTAATCAGGCATATTTCCAAAAAAATGTGATTCAGCGGGTTTTTTGTTTTTATTTATATTCCTCGGAGTCATGTGCGAATAAGGCGCGTACTTGCCGGAAAGTGTGATTTCAAGATTTACGCGAATCTTGCCAAGGAACACGTTTAACCCGAAATTTTAATTTAAACAGCGTTAATTTGATCAATGAACACACTCAAAAGAAATTAATTAGACAAATCTCAAGCATTGGCCGAGTTTTAACTAAATGTGTTTTTGTCGTTTTGTTGATCATTTTCGCATCTATTTCAATGCTCTATAAAACCACAGATTATAAGAGATACTTAACTTCTGCAATTTTGCTCTTGTAGATTCCTTCAATACCATGGTGGATATTAAGCTGCGGCAGTGGGCGGAGCAGGCGTTGCCCGCGAAATCGGTGGAGGCTGGCTGGGAGGCACTTCAGCAGGAGTTCATATCGTTGATGGAGCGGGCAAAGAAAGCGCACGATCACGATAATGTATTTGATCAGCTCAAGGCGGCCGTTGTGGACGAAGCCATACGCCGGCATAGCTGGGAGGACAAGGCAATTGATATGCTGCGTGTGATACAGCTAAACACACTGGAGGATCGCTTTGTACACGACAAAACGGAATGGGATCAGGCGGTTAAATTCCTGGAGAACTCCGTTAACACCAAGCTGGTGCAAACCGATGAGACATTGTCCCAAATGTTTGGACCCGGACCGTGGACGCGTTTTGCGCACTGGAAGTCAATTACGCAGGATCAGCAAAAGCGACGCAGCGTCAAGGGTGAACTGGACAAAATACTCAAGAATGATGTGGTGCGTATGGGCAAGTAAGTTGAGTCCTTAAACTATTTAAGAAGTTTTTTATTGTAGAAACATTTACCCAGCCTAAGTTACGATGAGCTGACGACCGTGCGCAAGAATCTGCAGCGAGATAATGTAGAAGTGGACACGGATTATATACGCCAAACATGGTTCCCAGTTTACAGAAAGTGCGTAGATTACATATCATTTGATAGCACTTACCTAATCTAGATCCTTTGAACACCATTAGACACTTCCTGCAGCAGGCGTTGCAGCGGGCGAAGGAGTGCCGCAAAGCCTACTATCTGTACACGCAGCAAGGCGCCGAGTGTGAGGTGTGTTAATGCTAGGCAATAATCTTTCCCAGCCTGGGCTAATAATCTTTGCTTGTGTCTCCAGGTATCCTGCAGTGATGTGGTACTCTTCTGGCGCATACAGCAGGTCATCAAGGTGACGGGCAATGCGCTGCGGCAGCAGGTTATCAATCGGGAGGCGCGACGCCTGGACAAGGAGATCAAGGCGGTGCTGGATGAGTTTAGTGACGACGAGGAGCGGAAAGCTCACCTGCTCACAGGCAAGCGTGTGCAGCTGGCCGAGGAGCTGAGTAAGTAGATACTCCCGAGGGCTATTGAGAATATTCTAATCGCATTTATTGCAGTTAAAGTGCGACAGATTCAGGAGAAACTGGAGGAGTTCATTAATTCATTGAATCAGGAAAAATAGGCTATATGGTGTGCCATGACCAAAGACACAACTGCGTTATCTATTTAATGTTTTA